TTGAACGTTTGTTCGCTCAGATATTTTTTGCGGCGCGACACATTATGAGCTAAAATTTTGTGTTGCAATATGTGAAATTCAATGATAATGTAGTATTTTTATGTGAATTTTGTGTTTATCATTTTTAGTTCTTATGCTCCTTATTCTATGTATTTGTTTCACGGTCTGATGAGATTAGAATTAAGTACATATTTATTAAATTGCAGCAATGCTTAATAAACGGATCCTAAGAACTAATATGGTTAACTAGCTAGACATGTCAATCTTACGTAATCAATTTAGATATAAGTGATTAGGATCATGGAGATAAGCATAACAAATTTTACTTTGAAATGTAATGAAGTTAATGAAAGCTTAGACATAAGAGAATTTTAACTAATCGTAACATATTCTCACATTATTGACAAACACCATAAGATTTAGCTATATGATCACAAGTATCATGTTATTCCACTATATTATAAATATTTGATGAATAATTGAATTGATCATATTACAACTGTTTTTTCAAATGTCAATTTTAACCTTCATTACTTGTGTTGTTACATAACCCTGAACTATGTTGTTATTTAGTTATCTTTTTACTTATGAATTAACTTGTCATTTTTTGTTTATTTTATGAACTTTACCAAAAATTATCTTTGTGGGAATAGTATCTTTTATATCACTTTCTACTTACTAGGTTGTGTATGCTTGCATAACTATTTAAGTAACACTTACACATGTTTGATGAGTTGGAATAGATTAATCAATAAACAAAATCCAATTTCAAAAAGGGATGTAATGGGATTTGGGACTTACACATATAAAATAGCTGACAAATTTGATCTAAAAATAAGTTCATAATATTATTGAATACTCGGTTTATGAATTTGAAGAAGAAGAGAGTAAAGAAAAAAATAAAGTTTTTCATTTTTTTATAGAAAATGATAAATAAGTGCATCACTAATATAATTTTAATTTTGAGAGTATTATAATAACATAAATTAAATTTTAAAATTTTGTCAAGAAAATCAAACCTCACAATTTTGAAGAGGTTTTGTAATATGCGGAAAATCAAACCTGCCCATTTAAGTTGGGGGACTATCTTTTCTTCAAATTCCTCCCCCTTACTTTTACCAAAACCTTCATTTCTACTACAAGATTGCAAACAAAGCCTTGGTACACACAGTGAGCCACAAAGATGTATACCTTATAAATATGTTTTAGTGGTCTAAGTTGAATAAGTATGTGGCTAAATTATCTTATTCTTGTCTAACTTGTATGAAGTATAAGGTAGAACACTAAACACCTCTAAATAGTATGCAACCTTTGAGTATCTTTGAGTATAAGTGGGACATTATCTTCATATATTTAATGGTATAGTTACCTCAAAAACTTACGGGATGTAGTGCAGTTTGTAATTATTGATAAACCGATAAAGTTGGTACTTTTTATTATCCTCACATATTCTAAGAAGAATCTAATTTGTAAATGAAATTACAAAGTTGCATGAAGCCTCATATAACTCATTTTTATATGAGATCTTAGATTATGTTCTTTTAATTATTACGGGATAGTTATAAGATGAGATAAAGGGGAAATTTAAGTTTTTTTATTAGGGTGCTTGACAAGATTATGAATCTTGCTCCTACGTATTTCCAAGTGCGATGAGGAACTCAAAGTTATGTAGTAGTTTTGGGCGAGAACATATAGATTTTTATTATCGTGTTTGACAAGATTGTAATCTTGTTTCTTCGTATTCCCAGGTGCGATGAGAAACTCAAAGCTACATAGTTCCGGGCGAGAGCAATAGATTTTTTTATAATGGTATTTGACAAGATTGAGAATCTTGCTCCTACATATTCCCAGGTGCGATGAGAAACTCAAAGCTACCTAGTTCTGGGTAGAATTTTTTTTTTGGGGTCAATTTTAGTGAAAAATGTTCAAGTCTTATTCGAGCGGTAAAACATTGTGTCATACCCCAAATTTTTCCTATTTGATTTCCAAACAAATTATTACTTGTTGTTATTAATTAATAGTGTTATCACAATATAAGGTTTAGATCATCGTTGTCTAATTCAAAATGGTTTATATATTATGGGGTTTAAACTTATAAAGGGGGTGCATTGTTTCGAAATAGACCATCAAAATCTGATGGCCCATTTAATTTGTTCCTACAATTAGAGAAGGGGGTGCTTTTGTTGATTATATCTCCCTCATTAGAGTATGGTGGATAAAGGGAGGTGTGTTGGTTATAAAGGGGGCGCAGATAAAATGTCAATGGCCCATTTACTTTCTAAAAAGGGGGTGTGTTAGTAAAGCTGGAGGTTCTTGTTTATCCAGCAATCTCATTTCTGCCAGATGAGCCCATATCACTTTCTGAAAGCCCATTTGTTGGTTTGTGCGTTTTTGAAGAATTATTAAAAGTCGTTAGCCCATTATTCTTTTTGACACTTAGGCCCGTTGTTTTCTTGGCATTATAATTGTTATTATTGTCTGATTATTATACTTATTATTTAATATATCAATAATTATTTTACAAAAAAAAATCAGATATTTTTATTTTTAAAACGTGTTAACTAAGTCAAAAAGTTAGGGTTGGAACCTTAATTCCCAAACGCAAGTGGCGCCCTAATCTCATCATTAAAACGACTACTGTACAGATTCAAGCAAAGGGAAACACATCAAAACTAAAACAAATCTAATCGAATCAATTTATATATAAATTACAAATCAAATCCCTAATAAAAAATTAATTACAACCTAAAACATAATCAAATATTCTCTAATCTAATCTCTAATTTCTAAGCTAAAACAATTTGTAACGACAAATCAAATATAATTTCCTAATTTGTTCTAATATCTAACCTATAAATAAAATCCTAAAACTAATTGAAAGGGGACACAGAAATTTGAGGAGAGGAAATTATAACTGAGAAGAAGCAAATCCGCGAGTGAAACCGTCTTCTTAAGATCTGGGTTTCAATTTCTTAAACCCTAGATCTGTAATTCAAGTCATCGCCACCATCATGCACCATCATCTCACATACCTGTCAAACAGAAAAGAAGGAGAAGGAGAAGGAGATTAGAAGGGAGAATCGAAGAACCGGAAAGGGATGAATACAAGAAGAATCATAGCAAGGAAGGTAAGCCTAACACTTAGCTTGGTTTGAAATCGTGGTTGTTGATTGATTGATATTTTTGGACTTCGATTGGGATAAGGGTTTCTGGTTTCATTCTAGGGTCAGGTTTAGGGTTCTTAGGGTTTATACTAATCTGGGCTAGGGTTCATCATTTTTGGGGTTATGGTTCTTATATTCTTGGGGTTACGGTTCGTGTTTTTAGGTTTCTTAGGGTTCATATGAACCCCGACGACGGTTCATTTTGAAGGTGGTGGTGCCTTGGAGCAGCCGTCGGCAGAAGCGATTTTCAGCCGGTGGCACCCAAGGCGGAGGCGATTTCCGGGTGACGTAAATCTAGAGAGAAGCTGGAGCTTCTCTATCTAACCTCCAACGACTGTGTGTTTGTTTTGATGAAGAGAGAGAGAGAGAGAGAGAGAGAGAGAGAGAGAGAGAGAGAGAGAGAGAGAGAGAGAGAGAGAGAGAGAGAGAGAGAGAGAGAGAGAGAGAGAGAGAGAGAGAGAGAGAGAGAGAGAGAGAGAGAGAGAGAGAGAGATAAAGAACAGAAAAATGGGCCTTAAGCCCGGAAACATGCTTTTATAAACACCCGTTGATCAAGTGTAGCACTCCTAACTTGGGCTCTCGCTTCCAATCCCTTTGATCTTTATCAAACATTCACAAATTATGCGTCGGTCATAACTTGCAATAATCTCCCACACCTTGTCCAACGGATCAAACATTTGTTTGGACCAAGCCCGTTACAATCGCACCTCATGTTTTACTTCATCAACTACAATTCACACCTTCATGTGCTACTGGGCCAAGTCCAACATCTGGACTTGGGCCCTTACTCCCTGAACCCCCTAAGTTTGCTACCACGTTCAAAACAACACCCCTGCGTTTTGGGCCTAAATTCAATATATGAATTTAGGGCCTTACTCTTCATACCCCCAGTTTTTTACTAACAA